TCATGACCAAAAACCCGTAAAACCATGATATATCAATAACCACTAAAAATGTTGAAATCTATGCAAATATGTATGTAGACTTATAAATATACACACAAATTACCATTGTATGTATATAAACTTTTATATAACTTTCATAAATACCGTAAAAATAACTTATAAAAACCTTTTAAAAACCTTTTATAATCTCTTTAAAAACCTTTTAAAAACTTATAAAAAAGATTTAAAACCTTTTAAAATATTATAAATTATTTGTATCGAATCTCCCAGTAGTAGTTATTATATCGAAATACCTTATAATCCATACAAAAAAATACCCCCTTTATCTATCTATTTTCAAAAATACCCCTGTTTAAATTAAAAAATGGTACACCAATAAGGGTAATATAAAAAAAATCATTAATATAGTAGGATTTATTTGTTTTGCTCTATTGATGTTATATTTTTTTTTTTTATGTTTTTTAAATTCCTATTTTTCAAATAATTATTAAACTTCAATTTATAGTGTTTAGAATAACAAATAAGAGGTCATATGAATTTAGATTTGGTTGTTGTTTGTTGTATGTTTAAATAAATTTTATTATATAAAATTTGATGATTTTAAATTAGTAGCTGTAATGTTTAATAATAAACATGTATTGCATATTATAACTTGGGGAAAATTTCATTTAAATCACGAACTTTCAAATTTAGACCATTTAAGTCACAAACTTTATATGTGGCCATTCAAAACATGGATTTTTCATTGACTTAGTTTTAAAAACATCATCTTTCGTTGACCAAACCGAAATGAACATCATATCCTAAAATCTGTTAACAAAGCGGCTAGCCATTGTTAATCCATATTTTTTAGTTAGAAACGACATCGTTTAATGCAAAAACGATATCTCCAAATCGTGATTATAACGTCATAATCCAAAAACAAAATCCCTAATTTCTCATTTGGAGATTTTGTTTTAGCCTTAAACGACATCATTTTTTACTAATAGAGATGGATTAATGATGTCTAAATATTTGTTAGCTGTTATGTTAACAGATTTGAGGATATGATGTTCATTTCGGCTTGGTCGAAAAAAGATAAAGTTTTAAAAACTAAGTCAACAAAAAGTTCATGTTTTGAATGACCACATAGAAAGTTTGTGATTTAAATGACCTAATTTGAAATTTCATGATTAAAATTTTATAATAAAACTGATAATTATAGATTAGCAATTTCAGTTTCACATACGAGTTTCATAGGATGTGTTAGGATTCACGTAATACATCTTATTTAACTCGTTTTTTTAACTCACTAAACTATTTTAGGTATTTTAACAGATCAAACCATAAGACAGTATATAATCAAATATATGTAAATTCTAATTTGCTCCATCACCTAAACCTCGAGTTATATTTGCTATAGCACTTGTTATGGAAAAATTGCTAAAATCAACCTAGACTATTTGTTAGTCGCTTTTTTATACCTAAACTATGATATCGGACAAATAACAACATAACTTCACTAAAAGTCAAAATTTCAACCTAATCTATATGAAATTAGCCAAAATCAATATATGTCGAAACGTTGTTAGATAACCGCTTAACGGCGATGAGTCAGCCGACAACATGGCAATAACAGGACATCATAGTTCAGTAAAACGACGTCGTTCCATGAGTTTAGGGTTCTCGAATCAATGATTTGATGAGTGTTTTCTTTAACGATTCTTCGATTCGATTACATTATTAAAATGACATCGTTTTGTCTAGCCATGGGCATAAAAACCATAACTACAAACTGGAACCGATCCAAAAATAACCAGTTTGGTTCAAAATTTGGTTATTGTCTAAATAACCGATAGATAATGTTTTCCACTACCCGTGGATATCGGTTCGGGTCAGGGTATTACCAAATAACTGAATTGATACTCGATTACCCTAAACTATATAAACTTAAAAACTAAGTTCCTTAACCTAACTTCATCTTTCATCATTTTTGCAGACGCTTAGGATCGACTGCTTAGGATTGACTTTTTATTTTATTTCTCAATGTGTAAAATTAAAGTTTTATCTTGTTTCAATTTATTTTTCCGGGTGTTTAGCTACATTTTAGATAGAAACAGGGTCCATTTTACCCTAACCAAATGGATATTCAAGTTTTTTTAATATAATTTGGTTCCAAAAATGTAAAACCAAACCGACCCAGAACCAAGAGGATCCGAGCACAAGACATTTAGTTTGCGTCTTTGCACTCAGATATTTTGTTTGAATTTGGTTTTGTTCGGATAATTGAATGGATATCGGTTCGGCCATAGATAGTTGAAACTGTATCCATGTGGTTAATTCTCTTTGGTTCGGTTTATTCGGTTTGGTTAATATGCTTAGGTCTACTTATATTGTATGTATGTAGGCATGTCAATTAAGGTTAAAGCCCGCAATCTAGTTTGGTCCGGCCCTAAAAAATATCGGACCCGGGTTTAAATATATATGTCCACGAAAAATCCGACCTTTCGGACTAAAGGGTTTTTTGGGCTTAACACGATCTGGTTCGGGCCGGCTCAAAAAGCCCGTAAACAAATATGTTTTAAATTTTTATAAATATTTTAGTTTGATTAGGAGATTTGATTAATAATTTATTAAAATTAAAGTTGAAAACTCTAACCTTATTTTTCATATTTACTTTGTAGCCTTACTTAATACTTTTAAAATCTTTATCTATGATTATTTTTTATGATTTATATATGTAAAAACTGAAAGAAGTTAAAACAATATATATATATATATATATATATATAAGTATCCTAATTTTGAAATCATTGAAGTACATTAAATTTGGACTCTATCATCTACTTTTAAAGTATTTTAGTTTCATGTTTTATTGGGTTAAAGTGTAAACAATTTATTTGATTTCATTCTTTCTTTGAAATTAAGTTGGTTTAATGAATATTGATAAGTTATTTAAATTTTGATGCTTTACTTTTATAGTGTACTTTTGAATATTGTTTTTAGGGTAGACACTGAAGAGGGAATTGAGGAAGTTGCTGTTGAGTATTTCCGCACCCTTTTCTCATCCTCGAATGCAAGCGATCTCACGACGGTCATTGGTGACATCCTCGTAAAGGTGTCACCGCATATGAATGAGTACCTAACGAGAGAGATCTCAGAAGAAGAAGTTAAAAAGCTTTATTTTCGCTTAACCTTGGGAAGGCTCCAGGTCCGGACGGGATGACGGCTTTATTCTTTCAAATATGTTGGGAGACAACAAAACATGATCTTTCCAAGATGGTAAAGAACTTCTTTAACTCAGGAATCTTTGATAGCAAGCTAAATGAAACAAATCTATGTTTAATTCCAAAGGGCGACCGCCCTAGAGAGATGTCAGGATTTCGCCCTATTAGCCTTTGCAGGCTAATATAAGCTATAAGGTGATCTCAAAAGTATTAACTCTCCGACTCAAGGTATTTCTACCGGATCTTATCTCCGAGATACAATCGACCTTTGTGGCAGGGAGATTAATCACATATAACATCCTTATCGCGCAAGAAAACTTTCACGCACTCCGATCCAATCAGGCCAATCTTCAGAAGTTTATGGCTATTAAAACAGATATGAGAAAATCATATGATCGAGTGGAGTGGAACTTCTTGAGAGCCTTGATGGAGAAGATGGGTTTTGACCATAGATGGGTGGGCTGGATTATGCAATGCGTTACATAAGTATCTTACCGAGTCCTGATTAATGGAGACCCCAAGGGAAGAATCAGACCAAACCGAGGGATCCGCCAAGGGGACCTAATTTCCCCATATCTATTTATTCTTTGTACTGAAGCCTTAATTGCCCAGATCAACCGAGCATAACAAGAAGGAAAAATTTAGGGATTGCGTATTTCAAATGCAAGTCCCCGAGTTTCACATTTTCTATTCGCAGATGATAGCCTCTTCTTCTGTAAAGCAGACCCACATTAAAGTAAGGCTATAATCGACATTATCCGCCTCTATCGCGAAGCTTCTGCACAAGAGATCAATTTATACAAGGCTTCTATTATGTTTGGTAACGATGTTCCAACCCAATTATGACATGAGATTAAATATATTGTGCGAATCTCACAGGAAGGGGGTACGGGCACCTACTTAAGCCTCCCGGAAAAGATCCACGGCTCAAAGACGCAGTTCTTTGCTTTTGTGAATGACATACTTCACAAGCGAGCCAAACTATGGACTTCCAATCAGTGGCTCAAGCCATTCTAACATACGTCATGTTGTGCTTCTTACTACCAAAGGCTATAATCTCTAAGCTAAATAGTGCTATTACCAATTTTTGGTGGAGCAACAAAACCGATAGTAGAGGTATGCATTGGATCGCTTAGGTTCAGGTGTGCAAAAATTTATTGGATGGTGGTCTTGGATTTAGAACTTTAGAAGAGTTTAATCTTGCCCTCCTGGCCAAACAGCTTTGGAGGCTTCTACGCTTTCTAGATTCTCTCCTTAGTCGGGTCCTAAAAGGAAGATATTTCAGATATAGTAGCCCATTAGAGATACAAGTATCAAATCGACCGTCTTATGGTTGGAGAAGTATGCTCGCTACTAAGCATGTGTCAGGATATTCTTGGACTCTTACAAATTCGGGATATTACACCGTCAAATCAGGATATGAAGCGGCGAGAACTCTCTCTCGTCCATCTTGCGACCTCCCTGTTTAGGGACCTTGTGTTACGGCACTAAAGGCGCAATCATGGAAGATAAAAACTGGCAATGTGTGACTGGATGTTTGGCAACATGCCAACGACTATGTTATCACCATATTTTTAGAGATAAGAGGTGTCCCTGTTGTAGAGTGGAGGAAAAAACTATTAATCATATGGTTTTTGAATGTCCCCCCGCACGCCAAGTTTGGGCGGTTTCATCAATTCCTACTCACCCCTAGAGGTTCCCCTCATCCTCCTTGTATAGTAATGTTGATTTCCTTTATGGGAGGGGAATTGAATTTGGCGCTTTGGACAAGCATTTGAGGGTTTTCCATGGATAATGTGGTACATCTCGAAGGCAAGAAATAACTTAGTCTTTGAGAATTCATCTGAAAACCCGCAAGACACCTTGGATAAAGCTATTCGAGAGGAAGAAGTTTGGAGACATGCCAACACAAGAGATCCAATGGTTGAGGAAACCATGGTGCATGTTGCAGCTACTAGTTTCCAAGATTCCCCTATATGCTATATCGATGGTTCATGGCATGATAGGGAGCATATAAGTGGACACGGTTGGCTCACGACCAATGACACCAGCATTTTATACATTGGATTGAAAGGGTCTAGGGAAAGTCTCTCCCCTCTTCATGCCAAATTGGATACCTTACTGTGGGCCATTGATTACTTACTGAAGCTAGGGATGGATAGTATGCACTTTGCCAAGGATTGTTTGGACTTCATAGCAATGACTTCAAATATCGATGATTGGCCTGCTATCGAGATTGTTTTGATGTTTTTAGTTTAAAACATATCCCTAGAGGGGATAATGGCCGTGCCGACAAACTTGCGAAATGTGCAAGAGAACGAGGTTTTTGTTTTTCCCATGTTAGCTCGTCGGTTACTCTGTGGCTCTCTCTCGAAGAGAGTTCTATCTGATAACTTAGTGTATGCAGTTTGACCGTAATAAAAAAAAATTCTTTAAAAAATATTATGAACTTAGAAGTTTTATTTTTTCCGTAGGCAAACCCCAAAAAAGCCGGAAAAGCCCTATAGTCCTGTTAGGGCTGGGCTGGCTTTGAAATATAGACTCTGGCTCAAATATATGAGGATTTTACGGATTTCGGTCTGACTTGCCCGATTGACATGCCTACATGTGTCCTCTTATCTATATTAACATTTTTGCAACAGTTTTTGAAATAATTCTTGAACTTTGAAACTATATACAAAACATGCCACTAGAATTTATTATTTAGTTAAAATTTTTAAAACTAATAATAAGCATTTTTAACTAAATCTCTAAAATCTCTCCCTAATAATATAATACCATTTCTTATTTCCACCTTTTCTCAATTATTTCTCCAAAATTTTTTTATGGTCTTATTTGTTTTAAAATTTGTTTTATTACATAAAACATATGGATAATAATAACTAGAAAATTTTCGCATATATTGCAATTTTTGATTTTTTTAAAACAGACGTATATTACAAATTTTTAGCATATGTACAACATCCCACATCCGCTTAAATTTCCCCATTATGTCCAACACATAGCCATGTATCATATACAGTAAAACCTCTATAAATTAATACTTTATAAATTAATAAACACTATAAATTAATAAATTTTGCTGGTCCCAAGTCGGGCCAGTGTAAAAATTAACTAAATTCGATAAGATAATAAGTTAATAATTGTTTTGACATCCCTATGTAAAATATAGTCCCAATAATATCATAAATTAATAATCACTATATATATATATATATATATATAAGTAGATATGTTGAAATATGCTTTTACCTTTTTTGTAAAATGAATTTTTCTCTTAGACCTCATCTCTATAAATAAAGTTTATGTTATATTTTTAAAATATAATCTTTGAATATACTCCATAACCTCACAAAATAACCAAAATTTTATTTATGTTTTCTATTTATAAATATGCATCATTTTCATTTTTTATTTTGTTTTATAGGATGTTAAAAGTTAACAATTGAGGTTTTAATCATATATTTGAATTTTTTTTGTATATAACTGTATTTAAACTATAAACATTTATACAATTTTAAAAAGAATCTTATTTTTGTAAAATTGTCCCAATTCATATTTTTAAAAAACTTTAAAAGGTTAAAAATGCTACTATAAATTAATAATTATTAATTTACACTATAAAATAATAAATATTAATTTATAGATAAATTAATATCACTATAAATTAATAAAATACTGTGGTCCCAACATTATTAATTTATAGAGGTTTTACTGTATATTTAACATGGAATTCCTTAAAATTAATAATTCAAAAATACATAATTATACTTTACTTCATTCTTACAAAAATATTTTCTACCAAAACAGAATATAGAACTATCCCAAACTACAAAAGTAAACATCTACAACCAAAATTAAAACTGTATGTGGTAATATTAATTTATATTGTATGCTATTAAACGGGTATTACGAATCAATAATAATTCGGGTGAGTAACGAAAATACGAAATGAATGGTAAAAATATCAATACCCGATACTAGAGTCTTACCATGAGTTATAAAATTATAATATTCCAAGAAATTAAGGCCATTTTTACTCTTATTCTTGAAAATGGTTGAATACTAATAACGGTATTATTGCCTAGGCCTAAACTACTACACATTTTACTATATTAAAATGAGATTAATATAAACTAACACATTTACTAAGCAAATACAACCACTAGAAAATGAATTGTCTATAATTTTTAACTATATAAATAATAATGTGAACGAAATTAATTATATACAAATTAAATCAATTGTAAACTTAAAAAACTGAATAAATTAAAAAATTATTATCTTATATATAGTAAATTTAAATGAGATTAAAACTAAAAACTATTCCGTGTTTGACCCAAAAAAAAAAAACTATTCCGTATTTGTATCAGGTGTTACTAAAGATTTATTTTTTACTTGTTTTTTTTTCAATTGGTAGTTAGTAGTAGTTACGTAAATTTGTAATCTTTTTATGGGGTTAAAAAAAAAAGGTGAAATTTTTTTTTTTTTTTTTAATTCACCTTTTTTTTTTTTTTTACCAAACGTAAAACAAATAAAAGAAAGAAAAAAAAAAATCCATCTTCCTCTTCCCCGATCTGTTTCTTCCACAAAGATATTTTTCTTTATTATCTCAACAGTTCGATTAGGGTTTCAATCTCTCTGCTCTGCCTTGCTCTGCTCTGCAATCACCAACTCCACCACCGTCGTCTCTCTCTCTATCTTCCGGCGGCTCTTCTCTCTACTCCCCTCCGGTAAACTTTACTTACTCTCACTATCTTCTCTCCGCCCCTTTTCATATCTACTGTTTCTCGAAGCTTTTAGCAAGTTTCTAAGTTCATTTCCTAGTAATCGAAGCTCGTCTGTGTTCAATTAAGCTGTGTATTTTGAAGTAATTAGGTTTTGTCTATATTCTAATTGCTGAATCAAGTTACTTGATTTGATTCATTTTTGTAGTCTCAAGCTAATTTTGTTCAGTTTTGCTTATTCTGTAGCTATTAGATTAGGAAAAAATTGGGTTTGTTTCATATTTTTCTGGGGATTTTGTAAAACCAGATTTGTGGTTTTAGAGCTCTTGTTGATCATCTTGAAGTAGGAAATTTTGTGTTGTGTTTTCTTCCAAGTTAGCTAGTGATTCTGATTGCTACAATGGCTGAAACTGATGTTACTGTGTTTTCTGGTTTAGCTAGCTGAGTTGGGAACAATTTGGGAGAAAATTTTATAAGAGACTCTTTACTATATTGATATTTATCTTTCTATTTTTGGTTACCTGAGTTCTGGCTTTTTGTTTTGGAAAAGTTTTATGAAGTACTCATTAGTGTTTTCTTTGGTTCATAAGCAGTTTATGCATGTATTAGTTACTAGCAAGGCTTTGGTGGAGAATGAAATGGTTCTGTTGACACTGTTTTGTGATTTGGCTATGTGCAGGGTTAAACGATGGATCAGTCTTTTATTTTGATATTCCATTAGCATGCTTAGTTATTTGTTGAAGGTACATCGTGAGGAGTTTAAATATCTCAAATGGATGATGGTGGGCATCGTGAGAACGGTCGGCATAAAGCAGCTCAGGGTCAGGTATCTTGAGAAAATAAGTTTCCAGTCCCAACTGTAAATTGTTTTTTTTGCATAATTTTCTCTGTTGCGTAGATCTTATTAGTTTAAGACTGTTTGTCATGCGGCTGAATATACTTAAGCATTGAGATTTTTTTTTGATGGAAATGTATTATCTGTTCATAATATGAAATCAGTGGATGATGCAGCATCAGCCGTCGATGAAACAAGTGATGTCAATAATAGCAGAACGCGATGCAGCGATTCAGGAGAGAAATCTGGCGATATCAGAGAAAAAAGCAGCAATAGCTGAAAGGGATATGGCGTTTCTTCAGCGAGACACGGCCATCGCTGAGCGCAATAATGCGATAATGGAGAGAGACAGTGCTCTTACAGCTCTCCAATACCGTGAGAACTCCATGGTTACTGCTGCTTCTGCCAATATGTCAGCATGTCCACCAGGATGTCAAATCTCACGTGGTGTAAAAAACATGCACCATCCACATATGCATCATCATCATCATCAACAACATCACATACCCCAGTTGACTGAAAATGCATACGAACCCAGAGAAATGGAGCCAAATGATGGTCTCCCGACATCACCAACTGCTGGATCTGTCTTAGAATCTGCCAAACCAAAACGCGGTAAAAGAGTGAAGGACCCAAAGACGACAACACAAACGGCTGCTAATAAGAGAGGGACAAAAAATCAAAGGAAGGTTAAGAAAGAGAGCGAGGACGACTTAACTAAGATAATGTTTTTAAAGACGACCCATGACTACACAGAAGAAGATTCAAGTAAGCATATCTTAATAGGATCGAAATCTGATTGGAAAAGTCAAGAAATGGTGGGGCTGAACCAAGTGGTTTATGACGAGACAACGATGCCACCACCAGTATGTTCATGTACAGGAGTTCTCAGACAGTGCTACAAATGGGGCAATGGAGGTTGGCAATCATCCTGTTGCACAACCACACTATCAATGTATCCTTTGCCAGCACTGCCCAACAAAAGGCATGCTCGAGTCGGTGGACGGAAAATGAGCGGGAGCGCGTTCAACAAGCTCCTAAGCCGGCTTGCTGCAGAAGGGCATCATGATCTTTCGAACCCGGTCGATCTGAAGGACCATTGGGCAAAGCATGGTACGAACCGTTACATCACGATTAAATGATATGTGCATTTAGGTGTGAGTTGTTCTTATGATTGTATCTGATTTTAAGTTACGTGTACTAAATTCAAATAAACTCTAGAGCAAAAGAATTGTATGTGGGAGAGCCAATGTTATGTTGTATTATATAATTGGAAAAAATCATTAGCAACATCACAAACCATATTCGTCTTTTTTTTTTTTTTTTTTTTTCGCATCATCAAACAGAAAACTAAACACACACTGTTTCTTATGAACTGTATTCATTGTAGCATGGATACTTGATGTACATGTGAGATAGTTTACTCACTCGGCACTTATTCGTATGATAAAATTGATCAGATCGATCAAAGTGGCATTTTAGATAATTTGGCCATGTTCGTTTCTCCACCCAGATGGACCATCTTGATGAATCATCCAGATGATGTTCGTTTAACTTTTAAAAAAAAAATAATTCAGAATCATTCATATGATCCATCTAGATGAATTTACAATTTTAGAAAAAAATTTGAAAATTATTTGGATGACTTTGATTAGATCATACGGATGGAGATGGTTCATCCAAAAATGACAAATGACAAATATACCTTATTATCCAAATAACCTATTTGTCCACAAAATTATAAAAGGTATTTTTGCAAATATCTCATATATAATTTGTTAAAAAACTACAATAAATACTTCCGCCAAAAACGAAAATCACGTTTTCCCGCGAAAACAAAAAAAATCACGTTTTCCCGCCAAAACTAAAAATTCACGTTTTCCGTCGCAATGAAAATTATTTTTTCCAGCCAAAACGAAAAATCATGTTTTCCCGCCAAAAATTAAAAGAAATATTTTCCGCCAAAAGCGAAAAATAAAGTTTTCTCGCCAGAAAATACAAAATAACATTGATCCGCAAAAATAGCAAAATCGTGTTTTCCGCCAAAAACGTAGATCATATTTTCTTGCCAAAAACGCAAAATTAATATTTTCCTGCCAAAAACGCAAAATAACATTATCCCGCCACAAACACAAACTCATGCTTTAAATCTTAAAAAAATTATATTTCATGAAATAAAATTTTTAAATGTCAAAAGTATTAATTTATATTTTTTGGTGTTTATTTTTTTAATCATTTATTAAAATTACTATGATTAATATTAATGTGAAAAATTAGATCAAGACATGGGTATTTTAGTCAATTTTAAAATCAAACCCACCTAAATGGCGATGTAAAATGGAGAAACAAACACATCTTCATCGAAATGGTTCATCTAGATGAATATTTTTATTTCTTGTTCGTTTAGTCATTTAGCATCTTGATAAACCAATTTTAATGGATCATCTGGATAGAGATGCAAAATGGAGTAACGAACAGGGAAGAAGTCCAAATGACTCATTTCATGAAATTTGGAGGAGGTTATATAAAAGTTGATCTCAAATATTAATAGAGTTTAAACTTTATATGTAGTAAAAATAATTATAATATATTAAAAATTAGAGTTAAAATATTAATAATTCTTAAACTTTTTATATTTTTAACAATATTTACAATATTATAAATATTGTATAAAACTTAAAGGAAATTTCTTTTTACATAGCACATGTTACTTTTATTTGGACGTTTAATACCCAATTCTGTTAGAATAAAAATACTTGATACGCAATTTTTTTGTTGGCATAAAAATACTCGATATATCAAATTAGGCCATGTTCGTTTCTCCATCCAGATGGACCATCTATATGAATCATCCAGATGATGTTCGTTTAACATTAGAAATAAACATCATCCAGGATCATCCAGATGATCCATTTGGATGAATTTTAAAATTTTAGGCAAAATTTTAAAAATTATTTGGATGAGTTTGATTGGATCATCTGGATGAAGATGGTTCATCCAAAAATGACAAATAACAAATATACTTTTATTATCCAAATAACATATTTGTCCACAAAAATTATAAAAAGTATTTTTGCAAATATCTTATATTCGATTTGTTAAAAACGAAAATAAATATTTCCGCCAAAAACAAAAAATTACGTTTTCCCGCCAAAAAAAAAATCACGTTTTCCGCTTAAAATAAAAAAAAATAACGTTTTCCCGCCAAAATAAAAAAAAATCACGTTTCCCGCCAAAATAAAAAAAAAATCACGTTTTCCGCTAAAATGAAAATCATGTTTTTCTGCCAAAACGAAAATATCATATTTTCCCGCCAAAACGAAAATATCATGTTTTCTGCCAAAAAACGCAAAAGCATGTTTTCCGCCAAAAATTAAAAGAAATATTTTTCCGCCAAAAATATAAATTAACATTTTTTAAATCTTTTAAATTTATATTTCATGAAAAAAAAAAAAAATGTCAAAAATATTAATTTGTAATTTTTTGGTGTTTATTTTTTAATCATTAATTAAAATTACTATAACTAATATTAATGTGAAAAAATTAGATCAAAACATGGGTATTTTAGTCATTTTTAAAATCAAACCCACCTAGATGAATATGCAAAATGGAAAAACAAACACATATTCATTCAAATGGATCATCTAGATGAATCTTTTTATTTCTGGTTCGTTTAGTCATTTAGCATCCAGATGAATTCATTTAAATGGATCATCTAGATGAAGATGCAAAACGGAGTAACAAACAGGGCCTTAGTGTCAAATAAAGCCTTGTCTTTTAAAAATTGGCCTAATTAGACACACGACTTAACTAACGTTAATATGTGTGATGCAATCGCTAAGCCTGGTATAATATTAGTCACACGTTTTCAGATTTACATATATACGATCTGTTTACAAGATAATACTAATATATTGATGTATTATAGTGATAAAGGAGTCGCTTTTTTATCAACATGTTCTAGGTTTGAAACGTTCCTCCAACATAGTTTTTTTTTTTGAGAAGTTTTGAGAAATACCCCTTTTAGTATATCCCTTTTCAAAAATACCCTTTTTATCTATCGATTTTCAAAACTACTCATGTTTAAATATGAAAAATTAGAAAGTTATATGGGGGATTTGCACAAATAACCTTTTTATGATACCATTTTCTACAATTACCCTCTCTAGGTGTCCATTTTCAAAAATACCCTCTCTAATGTACAAAATGACTAAATTACCCTTTTTTAGTATAATCTATGAAGAAGAAAGGAATATTCTTTCCAACAAAAAGAATATTCCTTCAGAAAAATTTCCCACCAAAAATTTCCGACAAAAAAATTCCCGCCAAACAATTTCGCACAGAAATTTTTTCCGATAAAATTTTTCAGCCTTAATTTGTTCGCAATTCTTTAAAAAACCTTTAAAAACCTTGTAAATATTTTTAAAACCCTAAAAAATCCTTTAAAAACCCTTGTAAATCTTTTAAAAGTCATCCAAAACCTATAAAAGTTTTAGTAAACCTTTTAAAACCTTTGTAAATAATTTTATAACATTTATAGACACTTGTAAAACCCTTTAAACCCCTTCTAATTGTGGTAAATCCTTTAATATAAACTTTTGTAAAGCTCTAAAACCCTTTTAAAAACCCTTGTAAATCCTTAAAACCCTAGTTTAAAGTCCTTGTAATGCCTTTATAAACCTTTGTTAACCCTTTAAAAACCTTTGTAAACTTTTAAAACCCTTTAAAACCCCTTGTAAATCCCTTAAAACAATTTTTAAATCTTTGTAAATATCTTTCAAAATCTTTGTAAATGCGTTTAAAACCTTTTTTAAATCCTTGTAAATGCCTTTAAAAACACTTGTAAATCCTTTTTAAAACTCTTTAAAAATTCTTGTAAATATTTAAAAACCATTTGAAAATCTTTTAAAAATCCTTGTAAATCCTTTAAAAATCGTTATAAACTTATAAAATCTTTTGAAAACCATTGTAAATCCTTTAAAAACCATTCAAAAACCTTTGTAAAGCTTCTAAAATCCTTTAAAACCATTACAAATATTTTTAAACACATTTAAAAAATCTTATAAATCCCTTTAAAAACCCTTGTAAATCCTTTAAAAATTCTTGTAAACCTTTTAAAAAAATTTGGCGGGAAAAATTTAGTAAAATGTTTTGAAGAAATATTTTTGGCGAGAAAAGTTTGTCGGAAATGTTTTTGGCGGGGAATTTTTTGTCGGAAAAGTTTTTGGCGGAAAGATTTTTGTGGGAAATTTTTTGGCGGTGGAATATTCTTTCAAGTAGGGGTAAAATGGTCATTAAAATTTAAGAGAGAGCAAAAATAACAATTGCAAAAAAATAGGGTAGTTTTGCAAAAGGGTATCATATGTAGGAAATCTTTTTCTCAATAACACTAGAATTTGATAGAATTGGAAAATCAATAAATACTCAACTTTTTGAATAACAAAATACATACACTAAAAACAAAAGATTTTATTAAGAATTTATTAATCCATAAACTAAAGACAATGGAATCTTATAACTCTTAAAGCTTTAGAAATCATTCTCCTAATAACCTTCCCCCCCCGCCCCTATAAATAAATAGTGGTAGGTAGA